GTTTATTGATTTTTTACAGAGAGGAAGGGAGAGGGATAGAAAGTTAGAAACATCGATCAGCTGCCTCCTGCACACCTCCTAGTGGGGATGTGTCCGCAACCAAGGCACATGCCCTTGACCGGAATCGAACCCAGGACCCTTCAGTCCACAGGCCGAGGCTCTATCCACTGAGCCAAACCAGTGAGGGCAGGGCTCTACTCTTTTTTTCTTCTTATTATTATTGATTTTTTACAGAGAGAAAGGGAGAGGGATGAGAGAGAAACATGGATCAGCTGCCTCCTGCACATTCCTTACTGGGGATGTGTCCGCAACCAAGGCACATGCCCTTGACCGGAATCGAACCCAGGACCCTTCAGTCCACAGGCCGAGGCTCTATCCACTGAGCCAAACCAGTGAGGGCAGGGCTCTACTCTTAAGCAGCTTCTGGGTGCGTGGGAAAAGCAGACATACAAACAGCCAGCTAGACATAAGGCAGAATGAAATGAGTGCTGCGGGTCTAAGCCACAACTGAAAGGAAGCATGGCAGCACCGGCTAGGAGACTGGTGGAGACTGAGTTGCGAAGCAGCATCTGGCAGCAGAGGAGCAAGGGCTTGGGAAGAGTTGAGGCAGTAAATCCAAGATCTCAGGGAAGCGAGGCCCCTGGGAGGTCCGAGGCTCCGGAAGAAGTTTTGGGGGGGAAGAGAGTTCAGAGGGAATTTTTTTTAGAGTGAAAGTTGGCACGTGGGACCTGCTCCCCTAGCCTGGCTGCTCTGCCCACCGCCAGCTTCCTCCTGCACCCCAGGTTCTGCCCCAAGTCTCCTCCTTTCATCTCGTGTCGGCTCCTCCCCTCAAGATTGGAAACCCACACTGTGGGAATCTGCCCTTGCTTTTGGTGTTCAATGATGATGCATGGGCAGGGCCACAGCAAGGGAGCAGTGAAACCCAGGGGTGCCCCCACTTCCCACCACCCACCACCTCCTCTGGCTCAGGCACCTTGGTACTGACCTGCCAGCTTCTGTCTCGCTCTGCAAGTCTCTACTTTAAAGAGGTGGCTTAGCCCGGCTGAGCGTGGACCCAGGAACCAAGAGATCAAGGTGTGATTCCCCTCCGGGCACATGCCCAGGTTATGGGCTTGATTCCCAAGGAGGGTGAGCAGAAGGCAGCAGATCAATGATGTTTCTCTCTCATCAGTGTTTCTATCTCTCTCTCCCTCTCCCTTCCTCTCTCTAAACATGAT